CTTCAGCACCGAGTTCAGACCCAGCTCCGGGTCACGGTCCTGGGGGGCAAAATGTGGGGCAGGAATGGGGTCAGTTTTGGGGTCAGTTTGGGGTCAGTTCTGGGTCAGTTTTGAGGTCAGTTTGGGGTCAGTTTGGGGTCAGTTTTGGGGTCAGTTTTAGGGTAAGTTTTGGGGCAGTTTTGGGCTCAGTTTTGGAGTCAGTTCTGGGTCAGTTCCGGGGTCAGTATTGGGTCAGTTCTGGGTCAGTTTGGGGTCAGTTTTGGGGTCATTTCTGGGTCAGTTTTGGGGTCAGCTTGGACTCAGTTTAGGATCAGTTTGGGGTCAGTTTTGAGGTCGCTTTTGGGGTCAGGTTTGGGGTCAGTTCTGGGGCAGTTCTGGGGCAGTTTTTGGGTCAGTTTGGGGCAGTTTTGGGGTCTCACCTGCAGTGCACAGAGCGCTGACCCCACAATCACCGGGGTCCTCTCCCCGTCGAAGCCGAACTCGCTGAGCAGCTCCCGCACCTCCAGCTCCACCAGCGCCAGGAGCTCGGGGTCGGTCACGGCATCGGCCTTGTTCAGGTAAACCACGATGTGCTCCACTCCAACCTGGGGAGAAAAACCCTTTATTGGGACCCCAAAACCATAAACACACCCCAAAATCATCGTGGGCCTTGTTCAGGTGAACCACGATGTGCTCGACTCCAACCTGGGGGGAAAAACCCTTTATTGAGACCCTAAAACCACCCAGAGATCCCTGATCCATCATGGGCCTTGTTCAGGTGAACCACGATGTGCTCGACTCCAACCTGGGGATAAAAACCCTTTATTGGGACCCCAAAAACCCCACAGAGACCCCAAACCCATCATTGGCCTTGTTCAGGAGAACCACGATGTGCTCGACTCCAACCTGGGGGTAAAAACCTTATAGGGACCCCAAATCCACCCCAAATCCACCCTCGGCCTTGTTCAGGTGAACCACGATGTGCTCGACACCAACCTGGGGGGAAAAACCCTTTATTGGGACCCCAAACCCATAGAGAGACCCCAAACACATCATGGGCCTTGTTCAGGTCCACCCCGATGTCCTCAACACCAACCTGGGGGGAAAAACCCCAAAATCGGGAAAAAAAAACCCCAAAATTAGGAAAAAACACCCCAAAATTGGAGAAAA